ACCGGTTCTCGAAGGCAACTCATTTTATTCCTCTACCTAAAATACCCTCAGCCAGAGCAACGGCGGTTGCTGTCATTGATCACGTCTTTCGTATTCATGGCCTCCCGGTGGACGTGGTCTCTGACAGGGGGCCTCAGGTTGTTTCCAAATATTGGAAAGAGTTTTGTTGTTTGTTAGGGGCGACTGTTAGTCTTTCTTCTGGGTTCCATCCCCAGAGTAATGGTCAAACAGAGAGGGCCAACCAAGATTTGGAACCCATCCTCTTGGTGTCAGCAACTTTCGTGGGTGGCGTACGCACACAATTCCTTACCAGTGTCATCTACGGGCCTATCTCCGTTTGAGTGTAGCATAGGTTACCAGCCACCTATTTTTCAGAGTAGGGAATCCGAACTCGTGGTACCCTCTGCCCACGCCTTTGTCCAGAGGTGCTACCGCACCTGGAAGAGGGCTAGAGAAGCCATCCTCTGGGTGGGGTCGCGCACCAAGGCCCAGACTGATCGCCACCGGTCAAAGTCTCCCGTCTACGTAGTTGGTCAAAAAGTGTGGCTTTCATCTAAGAATATTCCTCTCCGTACTGTCTGTAATAAGCTTGCTCCCAAATTTATTGGCCCATTTACTGTCACCAAGATTATTAGTCCGGTGGCAGTCCACCTCAAACTTCCTCCTGCGTACAGGAGAGTTAATTCCGTCTTCCATGTCTCCAAATTAAAGCCAGTTTTTCGTCCTACCATTAATCCACCTCCCCCCAGTTCCCCCACCGCCGCGACTCGTAGATGGGGAACTCACTTATTCGGGTAAACGCATTCTGGACTCGAGGCAGAGGGGATGCGGATTTCAGTACCTGGTGGACTGGGAGGGTTACGGTCCGGAGGAGAGGAGTTGGGTTCCTGCTAGGGACATATTGGATCATTCGCTTACCGATGATTACAATCGACAGGTAAGTTCCTCTGGGAACGCCAGGAGGCGCTCCTAGGGGGAGGGGTACTGTCACGGTTCATGGATCCGTGTGTTCATTACTGCGTGCCTGTTTGTGTTATCTGTCTGATTGCTCATCAGCGTTGCTCTGGCAACCAAGGGGCTGACAAGCTAATCAGCGCGGTTGCACCTGCTGCTCGTTCTGTCCTGTCTTTATCTGTCTCGTGTGTTGTGCTACATGTTGTCAGATCGTTGTTTGTCCTGGCTCATGCTTGTTGTCTCTCCAGAGTCTGTGTACCCGGCGGATCTCTGCCTCGGATTGTTTCCAGTCCTCTGTCTCGGATTATGTCCAGTCTGGGAACCCATC